TTTGGTATAACTCTCCATTATATGCCACCGATGCACATGATTCATAGGCGAAAACAAGACAATAGACATTGTCAAAATGGCCGCCGTTGTCCCCGAAACCCCCCCCCCCCCCCCCGAAATTTTTTTCTGGGTACGGCCCCTGGCGCTAGCAGATCCTCGCTCTAGAAATCTGCGACCGGGCACTTTATGGCTCCGTCGTCGAACTTTTTGCCACCCCAAAATAAAATGGCAAAGAAATACAAATACAAACTGCTAGGCTTTGTGAGTATAGAGGAGGCTATGGTTTTACTCTGTGTGCGAGTGCAGCCGAAGCTACGAGCACGAGCACGGTGTCCCGAACGGTGCTTGCACTGCACCTGCACGCGGGGTCGGCAGGGACGCGGAAAAGGCCGGAGCTCGCTCTTGTAGCCTCCGCTACGCTCACACTTAAACGGAGGCCAGATGCTCCCGTTGGGGCACTAGAAACGCGTTTCGGTGAGTAAGACGCGCCGGAATGCGAGTCATTGCGTGTCGGCACATCGGGAAGTTAGTCAACCCCCAAGGAGCGTATCGTGGCTCCGCTGTAGGAGACATTTTGCCTGTGAAGTTAGGCAGGCTGGGGTTTTTCATGCGCGTCACGCAGCAGTGATGCACGCCTGAACGATGATCATCCAAATCGGGCAGAGGTATGGAACCCAGAATCTCCGGGCTTCGCAGCGCGAGCTTTCGCTCCACGCTCTCCAATGTGTCTACCGATCCTTCCGCACTGGAATGCAACGCGTACAGAATGCCGAGCTGTCCAGTGATGGCCTCGGTGGGCGTCTCCACACGCCCTTCTCAACCCCGCACTTGTTCGATGTTCACGCGCGAGATGAGTTAGGCGTTATGTGGCGTCGATTAGGTTCGCTCGTTCTCGACGTTCGAGCAGTACATAGCGCTGCTCCCCGCAGCTCGAATAGCCGAGCCATGGCTCGGCTCTGAGAGCGCTGGGCGACGGTAGTCAAATGTAATGTGACCAGTGACCGTCAGAGCAACATAACCAAAATCAACTGCTGGCAAGCTAATTACCCCTCTCCCCCCTCAAAAATAAAAATAAAAAAAGGAGCGCAAAAGACAAGGATTAGTAGGAGGAGTACAGGGGGCAAGCGCTCTCCTGTGTACTTACTAGTCCTCGTTTTTTGCGCGGCGTTTTCCCCGTTATGTGCAACAGAATCAAGGACTGCAGGTCGTCATACGTCGATGTTCGGGCACAAAAGGCATCAAACTTTTTCCTCTAGGCTTTGGGAGGACGCTCCTTGTAGACTATTCCAACACTTTCCTTCTGCGAGCGCCATTTTTGTTTGCCGGGCTACGGAACGCCGGCTTTCTCCTACGGCATATCAGATGCTGCGTCCGCAAGCCGACAAGCGCTGGAAAGGCGGACGAGCCGAACCGACGCGAGCGTGCCGCCTGTGAGCGGCTAAGCCGATCGGGTCGGAGCCTTTGGCTGTCGGATTAACGTCCACACTCGCCTAAACAGCCGGCGAGGGAAAGGTTTGCCAGCGGCGGCGGTAGTGTAAACGACTGCGCGTACAAACCCGTGTCGTACTTAATGTACGACGCTGCTGGCTCGAGCGTGCGGTTTGATCTTGCGGATCGTTCGCAGGCGCTCTCGCCCGAACGAGACGCTGTAGGTGAGTCGCGCGCTCGCGCCAGCAGCTTTGGCAGCGTTGTACGTCAAGTAGAGAGTTTTCGCATAGAGGGCCCCGAGGCTTTGGTCTCCCGAGCTGATGAGCGAAGGACAACGGGCGCCATGACGAGACACTTTTGGATCTGCTTAAATGGCGCCGTTGGATATTAGACTGCGGTCGAACTTCATGCGAGTCTAGAAGACAATCGCTGTGCACTCAGCACCAATATGGGCCGCACCTGTGAGGGAGACAGCCTCTAAGCGTCGCTCGTTTAGGGGCGCTTCGTGTGCGGCGGCACTCCTCTAAGCTGCAGCCCGACCTCTCCTTTGAGTCGTCTTCGCACCCTATTGCCAGGGCACTTTCTGTCCCTTCACCAGCCCTGGTGAGGCGTCGCCGCCGGTGCTCTGCGCGCAGCCATTTTGTTTTCTTGGATTCGTAGCGCGCACGACTGTACGAGCGACTCTCAGTGAAGAAACGGTCCCCCCGTCAGCTCGAAACTGGACATTGGCGTTTGTGTCCCGAACGGCGTCCCTCCGACCAGCGCCGGGACGGCTGTGTTTCGAGGGGCGTGGGTGGCGAGGTCGCGCGGCTCGGCGACGCTGGGGTGCCTCCATCGATCGAGGCGGACTCGGGGTAGGACCCGCCCCGCCTCGCAGCGGCCAGAGCGGAATCCGCCCGCCCATCCGATGTCAGAGTACGCCTCGTGTACGGCGCTAGTTGGACTCGAGGCGCCGCCGAGCAGTCGGGCCTCCGTCGCCCCTCGGACGGTGACGTTCCGTCAGCGTCAGTGCCGGCGCGAAGGGATACTGACCAGCTTATTCGGGACCCGTCGTGCGGATCGTTCGGAGGGCGTCATGGCTCGAATCCTCGGAGAGCGGGTAAGTCCGGGAGAGTCCCTTCGAACCGCGATGAGGGGTCGCTTCGTCGCACGCGAAGAGGCGATTCAAAACGTTGTCTCCCACCGTGGGCCACACCGGCCGCCGTCCCGCTAGACTTTTCCCTGGCGATGAACCGCAGTCCAGCGTTGTAAACGCGACACGTGACTACGCACCCCCGCGTCGCCGTGTTTTTCCTGAGGGTCACGTGACACTAACGGCACTGGGTTGGCTCCCGTGGATCGTTGCTTCCTCTGTGGTCCATCGCAAGGTGCAACGGAGCGTTTCAGCGTGGCGCTGCGCCCCCGCAAGTGCGCTTCTCCCAACGCTCGGGAGCCGTCCAGGCAGAGCACGCTCTGCAGGGCTTTTCTCGGTGTCAGCGCAGCGGCGGACTCGTCACTGTTCAGCTTCCCGCGGTCTCTGGGTCGACGGGAAGCTTCGTGGCTAACGCCACGAAGGTCCCCGGTGGTCCTCCGCGCCACGGCGACGCCCCGGCCGAGCGACGCGTGGCCTGTGCCTTCGCTGGTTCTTTTGGGGCCCGGGCGTGCGTGGGCGGGGCGCGGAGGCGGTGTCCGGGGCCTCCAATGGCAGCGGCCGCGCGTGCGCCGTCCGCGAGCGCGCACTGCGACCGCTGCCGCAGTCGGTGCCCGGCGCGGGAACCCGCGGCCGGCCAGCGCCGCAGCCCCCGGGGGGACCCGCCCTCGGTACGTACGCGCAGTCGAGGCCCCTTCGCTCCGTCCCGGCCTCCCCGAGGCTACTCGTTCCAAGGGCGCTGGGGGAGCCTTCCCGCATGGACTACGCGATGGAAGAGTGCGGTGGCCGGTGTGGCGCCGACCGTCTTTGCCCTCGACGTACTCGAGCTGCTCGGAAGTGTCTGACCAGTTCCGCGTGTGGTGGAACTCGGCCCGGGTTTGGCGTCTGCTCGATTCTCGGGACCCCCTTCCGGGACGTCCCGAACGGGGCGCCGTGCTGGCTCCCTCCGGTGCACCCTCGACCGTCGCTGGGCGTCGTGGCTTTCGGTTTGTCCGCTGTGCTCTGGACGCGGCCGTCCTTAGGGAAGGGGGGAGGGGTGGGGAAGGGCTTGGCACGGATGTTTTGGGAGAAACGTGCGAGTGTTCCTCGGTGAGCCTGAAGCGCGCCCAGCCTCCGTTCTGGACTCTCGTTTGTGCCCTGGTCTCGGAATTCCTCCAGCCTCTTCTCGTGCCGCTCTCCACGATTCCTGAGAGACGCGCGGTCTGGTCTTTATGACGGTAGCCGTCCTTACCCACGGCCCGGTGTCGCGCCAGGCGGCAGACACGATTCCCTCGTCCCGGTGTCTCCGCCCTGCTGTCACGGGATTTTGTTCGAGCCAAGCAGTCCGAGTCATCCTAGGACCGTGATCTGCCCATTCGGATGGCATTGGCGGTGTGTGCGTCTGTCTCGTGGTGATCCAGCCACTCGCTTCTCTCGTGTTGTGAAGCACCGATTTTCGTCTCCCGTGGACAGAAAGTCGGGCGACCCCAGCAGTCATCGTCACGTGATCGCAAACGCGCAGCTTTGTTGCTGGACACGCGCGCCAGAACCGGTGGCCGTTTCACTCTCACGGAAGCCACGCTTCACTGCCAAAGTAATGAGCGAGCGCGAGCGAAATGCTTCTACTCCGTTTTACTTTAAGGCCGATGCGTAACGGTAGCTTCAAGAGCGAGCTCAGGGCTTTCAGCGTCATCGTCAAGCATCGCTCGAGGTGACATGCCCTTGTTGGCAGCTTCGGCTTCGCTCGCGCATAAAGTGCAGCAACCCATAGTAGTATCTCGAGTGACCCATTTGGTAGCGCAACTTGGTGCCGGGGTATCGGTGACTCCCGCGGAATATTGTTTAGGACTTCCTTCGGCAGCGTTATGTTTTCGTCGCCGGCTGCTTCGAGCTTTCGGCGCGGCCAGCAGTGGACGGCTACGTTTATTCGGAGCGGTACGAAGCCCAAGCTTGCAAAATGTCTCCGTTCTCTGAGCACGATTGGCGAGTAGACAGATGGTCTCTACGAGCGAAGCACGTATAGACTATTCCAATTATCGTCTTCTGCGTGCAGCCATCTTTGTCTCCTTGGAACGCGTTCTGATTACGCGCTGTAGCTGTCTTTCTTTCGCGGGACATCAGATGCTGCGCATTTGTTCACAGACCATACCCAAGCAGCGCAGGGTGTCTCAATCATTGGCTAATGGCTAGCGGTGGTCTTTTGACCAGTAGTCAGACAGTGGCCAGCCATTGGCCGATGACTGGTCTTTCTCTGGCCATTGGCCATCAGCCATCGGCCAAGCATTGTCCGATGAATTGCCACTCTTTGGCCATTGGCCAGAAGACCATCGCCAGCCATTGGCCAACGCATGGCCGTACTCCGTGCTGCTTGGATAGTGACTCTGCATGTTTTTGCCTGCGTGGTAGGCGTTGGAAAGGTGCGTAGTTCCCGGATTAACGCCCGTGCCTCTCTCTCCCCCTGCAGGACGGTGCCAGGAGTGCGAGCGGGGCGTCACGACATGGCCACGCTGTCGCTGAAGATCAGCGTGCCGGAGAACAAGGTGATCAAGACGATCCAGTTCGACCCGGGCACGCTCGTCTACGACGCCTGCCGAGTCATCCGGGACAAGGTGCCGGACTCGGCCCTCGGAGACGGTGAGTGCGTCGGCGCAGCCGGCAGGGGGAGGGTCCTGGGAGGAGAGGAAGGCGAGAACCAACATCCCTTTTGGACAACGAGGCCGTAGTAGCCGGACGCTCTACGTCACGTATGGGAGATTCACACGACGGGCTTAACCACGGACGGATTGATCACGTGACGACGCGCCCTCGGATCGTCCGTCTTCTCCCATAGCCATTCCCACGGAGGAGATGACGAGCACACGACAGCGAGGACGGACCGAACCACTTGGCGATCTCAGAGTGCCGCGAAACGTCAGCAGCGCTCTGTGGTCAGCGCCACTTGCTTTGCTAGCCTAAGGTATAGAAGGAAGTATGGCCCTGCTCGGGAGGATGCTCGGCGTAGGGGCGACAGAGTCCCAGGCTCGCGGAGGGTCATTTGCAGATGTCCTCTTTCCGCGCTGGCGTGTAACACTTCGGATCACCACAGCCGCCAAAAGGTCTTGTTAGGTCTTGTCTCCACCTTGGACGGACCGTCCAAGGTGTTGACGTTCCGGTGGTTAGCTTGACTCACGATGGGCGGCACCCCCTGGCCTCGCACCCACTTCTTGAGATCGCACACCGAATCACCGTAGGACTTGGTCGTGTGTTTGGCGTGGGGGCCGTCGCCAGCGGTCTCGTCGCCCCGCTCGATGACCGGATGCGTCCGTTTGCTTCCTAGTCTCTTGTCGCATTGTTCTTTCTTCCTTGTCCTTAACCCCGAGCTCGCACACCGAGCGTGGGAACGTTCCTTTCCCACGGGTCATTTCCCTGTGGTCTGCCCTCTTGACCCTAAAGCAGGGACCTTGCATACACACATCCCCCGGGCCACTCGGAACACAGACTCCAACGTGTCAGCGTGTTGTCTGCTCGTTTCGTAAATTTCGAGATGAGGCAATGTGCCTCCATATACTGTACCCCCCCCCTCTCTCACCGAAAAACCGTTCGTGTTTCCAAGCAGACCACCTGACATAGGACCACTTCGACCGAACGCGCCTCCCCCACCTAACATGATACGCCAGGCCGCGACTTGGCGTCCAGAAGGCGGCAGTTTGCGTCCTCGGAACTTCCTCCTCGGACTTTTTGTATGCGACCCTTGCCGTTTTACGTAACAGTGGGTGACTTAGAAAATTCAGCACTACGGCCTTGTTGTCTATGGGCTACTGGCGCGACCCCTCGCCGAAAGGGGCGTGCATCGCGTACTTGCCCGCGGCGTTAACTTAGCTTCTTTTTTTATGGCAAAGGGCGGGAGGTCGTCGTCACGGGGTACGCTAGTGCGCGTTATGTTTCGTATGCGGAGATGTTTCAGCTCTTTCGATTGCACGACGGGTGCAGTAAAGATCACGACGCACACTCGATATACGTGGCTGAAATATTCAGAATATTCGCGGATTGTCGTCGTGTCTGCCCTGTAGAAAACATGCGCTCTGAGAGGTTCGCGATGACGAGGCGCGATGGAAAACCAAATGAATCGGAGGGAGCCTGGTAAAGCCGTTCGGTCTACGTCGGAAGATGCGAGTTGACGAGGGCGCGTCTGTCGGACTCTGAAACGCAGTCTTATTTTCGCGTTTGGACCTTCGTAACTCGTGCTTTCATGAACATCTGTGCGCGCATAAATAGCCCGCATAAATAGCCTGTCAGACAGATTTGAGGGAGTTGGACAGGATAGTCCGGGTTTGAATATTTCCCCTTCCCAAAGGACCTGCTGCCAGCAGAAATGAACGAATGCTATGCCGGCCGTCGAACGCTCTAGGGAACGCCCCGGCTTTCTCCTCTCTTTCGCGCAGTAGTCGAAACGGGGCTCCGAAGAGACTTTTGCTGGGAATTTTTCCGGTCTCGCCTTATGCCCGATTCACAATGTGCGATTTTATTCGCGATCTCGGAGTTGCGACATCGTGCGACAAAAAAAGCGTGGTGAAAGCTGGGCTGCTCGACGTCGCAGCTGCTAGATCGGAAGCAGTATTGCATTACGTGATATAGCTTTAATTTGTCGCTTTTCTAATCTGCAAATTTGCGACCATCTTTTAGAGAAATTGGTACCGCGGCACCTCGGAGAAGATTCGAGTTTATCGTGCGGGAAAGTTCCCCGAGGGCGTCACGCGGAGGCTTCGTAGCGGGCCGGGGATAGGCGGCCTGGGCGAGTCTGATGACAAACGAAAGAGGGGCCAAAGCTGTTGGACTGTCTGCAAAATGTGCGGCTTCCTGGAGAAATCTTTCAGTCCGGTCGTGGGGCCTATGTTTTCCTCTGGAGTAAGCTTTCCTTGGCAACGCTCTGCGCTGAACGGGCTTAGACATGCGCTGATTTGGCAGGCTCTTTAAGCTCCGACAGCCGTTTTTATTTAAATAACGTGGTGAAATCTATAAAGCAGCTTGGTAGTGAAATAAATTGTCGTATATATTCTAGTGGAAGTGTTAAAGCAATTCTGTATCTGAGAAGAAAAAAAAAAAACACTTCAATGGCTTTCATTCGGCCTCCAGGAGCACGAATATCGAGATTATTTTTTAAGTGGCTGTACGGAGGCTTCAGATTTTAATTTTTAAAGTATTGCCGAAGCCCCTCCTTCCCGGGGTTTGACGTCAAATTAGTAGTTTTCGGAATCTCTACTCTCGCGCATTTTCAGCGCCTGTCAAAGCTATGCACGCGCACTCTCGCCATTTTCAAAAAAGGTCAGAAAGAGACGTCACGACTGACGTCGGAGCGGAACTATACACCTGGCAAGCTTGCAATTGCAAGCGCTGTCCACACCAGCGACACGCAGGCGGCGGCCCAAAGATCTGGGTAGGACATCACGACTGGTCAGAGCTTTTATCGTGTTTTCTCGCGTTTAATTACATCTTCGGCGAAAATGAACGTGATATTCTGATTCACGGGATAAAAATACGCCAGAATTCACCTCTGACTCGTTATTTTTTTTTTTTTGCGAGAAGTGTTTTAGATTTTGTTTAAGTGTTTGGGAGAAAAGGAGACAGTGTTTTCTTGCCGCAAAAATAATCTGCGCGTCGCGGAACGCGTATCCAGTCGGATGTAGCGCTATATCGGTTGGGACAAGGTGCCAAAGTTTCACAATTTAATTTTACCTGACTGAAAAGTTACCAGCAATTTTCGAAAATGACTTTTTTAGAAATGAAATGGGGCCGGTCCTAGCTGGCAGGCATCATTCATCTCCATGCATTCCCGGACTTTCCTGGCCGCCGCCCCGAAGAGGTTATAACGGAACGTCGGTTGCTCCCAGCTTCCTTCCCAGCAGCTTCGACCATAGCTTCGTGTTTTGTATGTAGTAAATGTTTTGTGCGTAGCCATTGCATGTTTTGCGTCGTCGTCGTGTGTGATGGCGTTTTTGAGAAGAGCTCTGGATGGTCACCAATTTGAGAAGTCTTGGTCGGGCTACGTGGAGGAACGAGAACGCCACGTTGACGAGATCCATCCAAAATAATATTCGGGGGTTTGCCGTGCCGAACGAATGAAGGAGGCCGTCTCGCACACCCCGAGGATTCAGTTCGACCACCTGGGGTCTATATCTTAACAGCACTGCAGTTAGGGCCAGTTGCTTGAACATATCACGGACTTCACGGAGCAGAAAAATCAGACGCACACAAAATACTAGTGTCTGTGTGTGTGTGATATTTGTGAAGTCAGTAACACCTGGGAACCTTTTGACGTGCAATCTCAGTTGCATGGCACGTTTTCCGTTAAAGAAGGACACCTTAGAATGGATGCTCGGGCGAGTTGGGTATTCATATTGTGCGAGAAGCGCTAAGTAGATTCACTCACCCTCAAACTCACACTCACACTCACACCAGAAAAACGGTCATTCACGTCGCGCTGACTTTCAACTCAAATTGTATTTTCGTCTTCTTTCGTTTTTTTTTTTTTTTTTTTTTACCCGTCTTAAAATTGTCATCTCACTTCATTCTCTTCTGTACAAAACAATTAGCAATGTCTATCGCACATTACCTTCGAGAATCGAGAAAAAACAATTCTTTTTCCGTTAGCGTTATGGATGGACTGCTAACACAGGTGTCACTTCTTTTTATGATGTGAGCTGCCTCTATTATCTCACGTGTTAACTGATGATGGTTCTTTGCGATTATGGTGCTATTTTCGAAGTCCGCGGCGCACCCACAATCACGGCAGTGAATGCCCAAAAGTCCTGAGTTAGCTAATCGGGTGTTGTTGTTGTGTTCCCTTAATCTGTCGTTAATACATCTTCCAGTTTGTCCTATGCATTGTTTGCCGCACGATAGGGGAAAGGAATAAATCACTCCTTCTGAGCAAGGTATGTATGGGGTTTTATGCTTTTTAGTGCAGACGGTATTAGTTTTTGGTATGGCGTTAACTTTTTTACAAAGGACTGATAGTTTGATGGGGGCAGAAAAGACTACGTCGATGTTTGCGCGATTCCCAATCTTCTTCAGGTTATGAGAAATGTTATGAATGTAGGGGATGACTACCGGTCTCTGGTTACTGAATCTTTCGCGTGGCTTGCGGGATGTGATTTGGCCTTTTTTAATCTGTTTAAGGAGACTTTCGGCGACTGAAGTTAATATATGTGAAGGATATCCCGCACTTACTATCCTAGATACTTGTCCTGTGAAGCTTGTTAGGCCTGAATGTGGGCAGGACTTGAAAATAGAGTTTTTGAAGCACTGATTGACTATGCCTCTCTTTACTAATTTGGAATGCGCCGAATTATAATTGAGGAGTGGTTTTTTGCCTCTTGGCTCATACGACCAACAGACATGACGGGGCTGAAAGGACAATCTTAGGTCCAGAAATCTTAGGGATCCTAGCTCTGGAAGCTCGTGCGTAATCTCCAAAGGGTTTAAGCATGTTTTAAACTTGACGAGCACATTGGGCACATGAATCGGGAGGTCTTTTTCGTTGGTGTCCAGGAGTATCAAATAGTCATCAACGTAGCGGAACACTTTCACAACAGTCGAGGAATTTAAGCTCTTTTGAAGCAGTCTGTCGTGGTGTGCTAGGAATAAATCACTGAGAA